TTGGAAAATTATCCGTAAGCCATGTGAAAATTTACCTTTACCACAAGTGCTCGTTATGCTACGTGTATACACACATAGCAAACATATGGGCATTTTCATTCGAAATTATTTTTCTGCTGAAATAATTTCGTACATCCTTATGTAATACAATGATGCTGATATTGTATATATGTATGTGTCATAATTATATAAAATAAATATTTAAAGCCCCATATATGTAATGTAATAAAATATTCACATTCACAAGAGTAGTTATACTCATGTGTTCTTGGGTGAAGATAAAATGTTATTGTTCTGAAGTTGTTAATTTTATACGAATGAATTATTTAACAAACTTTAAAGAGTTTGGGGTGTTCACAATAAGGGGTATAATAAAGATTACATAATGATAATGAACTCCTTCTTGCTCACATTTTCCAAGAAAATGTTACATAATTTTAGAAAAGTTGATAATGACACAGTTTGTGCGTTTCGGCGATAAACACAGAAAATATGAGCTGGAAATTAAGCAGGCGGTCTTCCAAAAATATATTTTAAAACATCAAAATATGTGGCGAGCAATTTAAAATATTTTTTTATGTCATTAAAAATATTTAAAACAAATCTAAACCTACGCCTCCATTGTATAATAACAATAAATTAAAAAAAAACCGCCGGGGTCCTTTAGAAATTTTTCAAAACAAAAAAAACAATAAGGACAGTTCAAAAGTCGTCACGGGGCCGACTAAATGATACCCTTCACCACTTTGGATACATACAAGAGATACTCATATGTACAATATCCTTTAGATAGAATAGACATTTAATTTTTAAAGGACCATTGGAATGGAATCGGGTGAGACTATATATAGATATTTGAAGCACATACCATTCTGAAATCTATGATAGATTACATGCCAATCGTATTCTTTTGTGTACAATTTGTATGAAACCGAGCAAAATAATATATGAGGAACTATATGTACATCTGGACTTAATTGGGCAACCGTGGCATATACCATTGAGTATGCTGCAACACAGTGTCATGTCCACAATTATATCTCATGTATATCGAACATACGTATACTCATCGGTGCACCATTTACATAAAATCGGAGGAAATATATAATATATCTAAATCTGATCCGATTTAAACAAAACTTCGCATACGTCTATATGTACCTAAATCCGTACATAGCGCAATGTTTCATCTCAATGGTACAAATATTGGGAGTTTTATGCACCATTACCACAAACATTGCGAGTTTGGCGCTCCATTTACCTAAAATTTAAATCTATATCTGAACCGATTTCAGCAAAACTTCGCATACATCAATCTGAATCCAATTCAGTACTCTGTGTAAAACTTTGTCTCGATCGGACCGATATTGGTAGTATGGTGATCCATTTACATAAAATCGGACAAAACTATATATGAGAGCTATATCTTAATCTAAACCGATTTTAACAAAACTTCGCATACATCAATCTGGATCCAATTCAGTACTATGTGCAAAATTTTATATCAATCGGACAAATATTGGCAACTGTGGCATATAACAGCTGGTATGCTGCAGCACAGTGTCATGTCCACAATTTTATCTCGTGTATATCGAACATACGTAGGCTCATCGGTGCGCCATTTACATAAAATTGGACGAAACTATATATAGGAACTATATCTAAATCTAAAACGATTTAAACAAAACATGGCAGATATCAATCAAGACCTAATTCAGTACTCTGTGCAAAATTTTGTCTCAATCGGACAAATATTGGGCGTTTGGTACACCATTTACCCTAAATCGGCAGAAAATATATATGGGAGCTATATCTGAATCTGAACCGATTTTCTAATTTCAATAGGGTTCGTCCTTGGGTCAAATAAGTGACATGCGCCAAATTTCATTGAAATCGGATCATAAATGCGACATGGACGGAAGGACGGACATGCGTAAATCGACTCAGAAAGTGATTCTATGCATATTCTCAAAAGGAACCATGTGTCTATCTCGAATCCTTTCCCCTTCTACAAACATATGAACAAAGACATAATACCCTTTATCACAGTGTGGTGAAGGGTATAAAAATCCACGCCTATAGGGGACAATGAAAATTACTTTTAAAAAATCCTCGCCCATAGAGACCAAAATAAAATTACTTTAAAGAAATCACGAATATAGAAGACTATGGAATGTTAATTTTAAAAAATCCACGCCTATAGAGGACTATGGGAAATTACTTTTAAAAAATCCACGCTCATAGCGAACAAACGAAAATTAATTTTTAAATATCCGCGCCTATAGAGGGCTATTGAAAAATACGGAAAATTATATTTGAAAATCCACGCCTATAGAGGGCTATTGAAAAATACGGAAAATTATATTTGAAAAATCCACACCTATAGAAGGCTACTGAAAAATACGGAAAATTCTTTTTGAAAAATCCACGCCTATAGAAGTCTACTGAAAAATACGGAAAATTATATTTGAAAAATCTACACCTATAGAAGGCTACTGAAAAATACGGAAAATTCTTTTTGAAAAATCCACGCCTATAGAAGGCTACTGAAAAATACGGAAAATCCACACCTATAGAAGGCTATTGAAAAATACGGAAAATTATATTTGAAAAATCCACGCATATGGAAGATTATGGAAAATTACTTTAAAAAATTCACACCCATAGAAAGTTATGGACAATATTTTTAACCGATCCACACTTATAAAAGACTATGGAAAATTACTTTTAAAAAATCCACGCTATAGAAGACTATGGAAACTTATTTTAAAAGAATGCACGCATAACAATGGGAAAATTACTTTTAAAACCCCATTCCTATAGAGGAATAGAGAATTTTTTAATGTTTTTTTTCAGAATCCACGCCATTAGAGGGCTATGAAAAATGATATTAAAAAATCTACTACTTTAGAGAGCTACTGAAAATGTTTTTTTTTTTTCAAAACTCATTCATACCATTTTTAGCTTTCGAGAAACCGCAAATGGGAGAGTATCGTTAATTTATTATTTCGATCTATATGATGATTTCGACATATAATTTTACTCCGGTGAAATATATTCACACTTCATATTTCGAATGCTACAAATGGATTGACAAATTAACTATGCACTCCACTTAATGACGGAAGTTATACAAATAATATTCGTTATAAACATCCTAAAAAACTTTCAAAAATGAATTGTTTTTTATTAAGTTTTTCATACATAAGTCATTCTGGGCAGATTATTTTTATCAACCTTAAGCCACATAACGCTAGATATGTGTTGTTCAAAATTCAATATTTGATTTTTAAAATTGAAATATTTTAATAATAATCAGAAATGTTATAACAACTTTTTATTTAAATATGAAGAAAGGAGAGTATAGAAGAAAATACAATAATATTGTATTGATATTGCCATTTTTGTTGTCCTTTTAAAAAGATGAATGCTTTAAATAAGATAATATTCTAATTTGGTAATATTTCCCTCCACTAACGACCTGTCTATTGAACTGAAATAAATTTTACATTCCAAAATTCAGTGGCAAATAAATTAACTAGAATTTTTACATTAAATGGTTATATTCAACCATCTGTTATTTTAAGCATAAAAACTAACACCAAATTAAAAGCTATGAAAAATGTAGATATACACATTCTATGAATTTTTTCTATTCCATGGTAAATAATTCATCAAGAATTTTGGAATAGAAAATAATATTTCAACAATTCCAGAGAATATCCTTAACGGTCATTGTTATTCCTGTTATAATTTTATTACGAATGAAATCTAATCAAATGAACTTTGATTAATCATAAAGTCGCTCTAAACATATTGTTTATTAATTATGCACAACAACAACAAAACAAGAACTTAAAAACGACAATTTCAAATTTCAAACTTTCTGTCATTACTCATAATATACTCTCTCTATCATATATTTTCCAAATTACATTTTGTCTAGTTGTCTATATTTTCTAATTGAACATTATTTGTTGTGTATTGTCCTTACAAAAACAACAACAAAAATACACTCCTCACTACCACATAACTGTGTTCTTGTCTAAAGACTTGTGTGTCATAAATATAACTTAACTTAATAACAGACAATAACCACACAGGTACACACACACACACGACAAACACTATAAGAAACAAAAGCTATTAATACTACACGCTGCACAATTCTTTAGTTTCTAAAATTTGCCACATAAAACTTTTACTCTACAACAGCAACGACAACAAATAAACTACAATTACAATGGCTACCTTAACGTTGATTAAAACAAAAAGTACAACAATAACAATGAAGAAACTAAATTGAGAACTACAACTACTCCCCACCACAAAATACCCAACTAAACACACCCACACACACGAAATATAACTACTAACACCTTGTTTCTAACAACAAAATAATAATAATGCACTCACACACACACAAAACTTTCTTTTAAATATCCATCATAAAAGTAAAACTAACTGTTCTCTGTCTCTCTTAATTGAGTACTCCCTCTCATTTTGTTTTTCCTTGATGTTAACATGTTTAGTTTCAACTCATACCAATTGCATTAACTGTTTCTCCCTAAACACTCTCAAAATTTCTCCCACTCTCTCTCTCTGTCTAGCTCTCTTTGAATGTAATTATTGAAAAACGAAATGTGTCCGTTCGTTTTTTTTAACATTATTTTTGTTAACGGTTTGTGTGTGTATTAGTGTTCCCACAGTTTATATTAGCAATACAATAATATAAGATTATTATCAAATACGTACATACTTATATATATGTATATTTTTATATATACAACAGAAATATATATATTTACAAATCAATAAATTTCCAATTAGCTGTTAATAATAAATGTAATTTCTTTGTCGATTTTTAACAAATATTTTCTTTAACTGATGTTCTTTGTTCTTGTTTTTTTCTTGCTGTTTCTCTTTTTTTCTTATACGATTTCTTTTTTCTTTTCTTGTCTTTTCTTCTCTTTTTTTTAATTTTCTTCCCCTTTCAACAGCTATTTATGATAGATAACTGTGCCGACGATTGGAGAATCGCTATGACATGGCAACGAATTAGTCAAATAGGTTTAGAACTTTTTATATGTGCTATACATCCAATTCCTGGTGAATATTATTTTCAATGGACAACAAAATTGGCGAACAAAAACAAAACAATGGGCACCGAAATGGTGCCGTACGACGTAGCTTTATCATTACCCATGTTCCTTCGTTTATATTTAATATGTCGTGTAATGCTTTTACATTCAAAACTATTTACGGATGCCTCATCACGGAGCATAGGTGCTCTAAATAGGATAAATTTCAATACAAGGTAAGTCAAAAAATATATATGCACACATATTTAATAAAACCCATATTTTATTGAAAACATAAACGATTTTGTTGTTAGATTATCGGCAGATAGAAGAAAATTTCTTTGAAACATAGATCATATACCAATCTTTTAGTAAACTGATCATCCAACGGATCGATTCGATTGATATTTCCTAAAGGCATGTGTTTCTTCATGTTTATGACCCTAAATGGTCTTAGAAATAATGCAAATCCTGAACCCACGTTTAAATGGTCGTCTTAACTCTGCTGAATTTATGGACCCATCATGACAACTTTTACATCACCTATAATATTTCAGAATCTGTTTTTTCATAATCCACAATTTTTTGGAAATTTATTAGTGTTGGCAACGATAAGGTTTTCCGGCAAACGATCGGGTGAAAGGGGAAAGGGAAAAAGGGACACTATATAAAACCATTTGGGCAATGGTCCTGTGGAATATTTGGAGGTCAAAATATCTTAATGTTTGGCTCAAAACGATTATTCCTTCATATAATATTATAATTTCACATTTTTGACAATTTTGTGGGGAAGGTACCAAAAGGAGTGGACCGATATTCCCCATCAATGAACTTGAACTAAGTTTGGAAGAAATATTGAACTATGTTTTGAACTAAGTTTGGAAGAAATATTAAATTAAATGTGCAAAGCAAAGTGCACCAATTACCTCAAATCGGATGCAAATATATATGGGAGCTATATCTAAATCTGAACCGATTTTCACGAAACTTTGCACACATCATTCTAGACTGAATTCAGTACGCTATGCCAAAATTCGTACAAATGAAAAGATTTTCAGGGATTTTGGTGCACCATTTCCCAAAAATCGGGCGAAACTATATATGGGAGCTATATCTAAATCTGAACCGATTTTCATGAAACTTAGAACACATTCTTATATAAGAAATTCATTACGCTATGCCAAATTTCGTGCAAGTCGAAAGATATATATGGTCTTTGGTGCACCAATTACCTTAAATCGGATGAAAGTATAAATGAGAGCTATATCTAAATCTTAATCCATTTTCACTAAACTTTGCACACATCATTCTAGACTTAACTCAGTACGCTATGCCAAAATTCGTGCAAATCAAAAGATTTCCAGGGACTTTAATGGACTATTTACCTAAAATCGGACGAAACTATATATGGGAGCTATATCTAAATCTGAACCGATTTTCACGAAACTTTGCACACATTGTTCTAGAATTAATTCAGTACTCTATGTCAAATTTCGTGCAAATCGAATGATATATAGGGACTTTGGTGCACCATTTACCTTAAATCGGACGAAGATATATATGTGAGCTATATCTAAATCTGAACCGATTTTCTCGAAACTTGGCACACATCGTTCTAGAATTAATTCAGTACTATATGCCAAATTTCATGCAAATCGAATGATATATAGGGACATTGGTGCACCATTTACCTTAAATCGGACGAACCAATATATGGGAGCTATATCTAAATCTGAACCGATTTTTTTTCAAACTTGGCACACATGACTTGTTTTCTAAATCCGAATTAATTGTACATTGTTTACAATTTAACATGCCAAATTTCATGCAAATCGAAAGTGATATAGCATATTCTCAAAAGGAACCATGTGTCTATCCCCTTTTGCCTGTTACAATCGGACGAACCTACATAGTGTGGTGAGGATATATCTTTATAATGTGAACCGACTAGATATAAAGATAATATGTTGTGCAAAGTTTAATTCAAATCGAATATTTCTTTCGCCGAATATTGGATTTATAAATATTGACCATTTGTGGGGAAGGTACCAGAAGGAGTGGACCCATATTCCCCATCTATGAACATGAACTAGGTTTGGAAGAAATAGTACAATGTGCAATGTTTGGATAAAATTGATTAATCTCTTCGAGCGTTATCGTTCGTATCAGCCGTCGAGACAGACAGACGGACGGATATTTGTAAATCGTCTCCAAATTTTGTGTAACGGATTTGGTCCAACGAAACATGGGATCTAAAACCAATGTTTCGATGAGGCAAATTTTTACCGTATCAATGCATATATACCCTCATTAGTTATAAAACTGAGGGTATAAAAATTCATGACTGGTGTTCTCCTCTTGGCCCTCTAAAATTTATTTAAGAAATACACGCCGTTTGTACTTCTTATAGCTCTCTAAAATTTATTTAAAAATTCACGCCTGGTGTTCTGCTTTTAACCCTCTAAAACTTAATTAAAAATCCAAACCTAGTGTTCTTCTTACAGACCTCTAAAATGTCTTACAACTCTCTAAAATCGATTTAAAAAGTCCACGCCTGATGTTCTACACTTAGCCCTCTCGTTACAACTCTCTAAAATCGATTTAAAAAGTCCACGCCTGATGTTCTGCACTTAGCCCTCTCGTTACAACTCTCTAAAATCGATTTAAAAATCCACGCCTGATGTTCTACACTTAGCCCTCTCGTTACATCTCTCTAAAATTTATTTAAAAATCCACGCCTGATGTTCTACTCTTAGCCCTCTAAATTATTTTATTTTAAAGTCTACGCGTAGAGATCTCCTCTTTGGCTCTCTAAAATGTATTTAAAAATACAATCCCGATATTCATCTCTTAGCCTTCTAACTTTTTTTTTACCACGCCTTACAGGCCTCTAAAATTTATTTTAAAAACCACGCCTTACAGACCTCTAAAATTTATTTTAAAAACCACGCCTTACAGACCTCTAAAATTTATTTTAAAAACCACGCCTTACAGTCCTCTAAAATTTATTTTAAAAAACACGTCTAGAATTTATTTTAAAAACCACGCCTTACAGATCTCTAAAATGTATTTAAGAAAACACGCCTTACAGACCTCTAAAATTTATTTAAGAAAACACACCTTACAGACCTCTAAAATTTATTAAAAAACCCACGCTTTACACCCCTCTACAATTTATCTAAATATCCACGCCTTGAGCCCTCTAAAATTTATCCTTTAAAATTTATTAAAAATCAGTGAGCGGTGCAGTACAATCGGGCGTGACCGATCATATGATACCCTACACAACTACCACTAAACTTCAACCTACTTCGGATTTATATTCCGAGCCTCTGTTTTGCCCTGGCATTTTTCCAAATATATTTTGCTCGGAGTGAACATGTACCCCATAAGATTCAAATTTTGTTATTCTTCACACAAAAGTCTGGGTTAATTTCTGCCGCTAAATAAAGATCGATCAATATCAAAACAACCATGCTAATTAGTTGGCCAGATCCCAGAATAGGTAGAATCTTGTAAATATTTACGTATAACTCGCCTATCTGAGTACATACAGCCATATAATTGGTATCAATGGGGGTCTTCTTTGGCCTAACCGAGCCTACATACAAAATTCCGTGAAAATTTATCCATAATTGTGGCCTGTATCGTGTTTACTAATTAGAATGTACATACAGACGGACGGTCGGAGGGACACACATATCTAGATCGACTCACTTAGACGAGATATGACGATCGGGGAACAAACTCTTGGTGTTACAAAACAGCAATAATACCCCGACAACATAGTTGTGTAGGGTATAAAAAATCCACCCCTGGTGGAAAAATCTACGCGTAGAGTTCACATATCCCAATTATGTGTTCTTCTAACACAGTTCTCTTTAAAAAATAATACACTCCTTGTGTTCTTCTCTGACCCCTGTAAGACATATTTGACACCTTTTTAACAATCCATAACTGTGGCCTGTATCGTGTTTACTAATTATAATGTACAGACAGACGGACGGTCGGAGGGATACACATATCTAGATCGACTCAGCTAGTCGAGACATGACGATCGGGGTAACAAACTCTTGGTGTTACAAAAAAGCAATAATACCCTGACAAAATAGTTGTGTAGGGTATAAAAAATCCTCCCCTGGTAGAAAAATCTACGCGTAGAGTTCACATATCCCAATTATGTGTTCTTCTAATACAGTTCTCTTTAAAAAATAATACACTCCTTGTGTTCTTCTCTTACCCCTGAAAGACATATTTGACACCTTTTTAATAATCCATAACTGTGGCCTGTATCGTGTTTACTAATTATAATGTACAGACAAACGGACGGTCGGAGGGATACACATATCTAGATCGACTCAGCTAGTCGAGATATGACGATCGTGGTAACAAACTCTTGGTGTTACAAAAAAGCAATAATACCCTGACAAAATAGTTGTGTAGGGTATAAAAAATCCTCCCCTGGTGGAAAAATCTACGCGTAGAGTTCACATATCCCAATTATGTGTTCTTCTAATAGAGTTCTCATTAAACAAAATCCAATCCTAGTGCCCTTCTCTTACCCCTGTAAGACATATTTGACACCTTTTTAAGAATCAACTGAAACAATTTCGGATAAATTTTGTTCGAACCGGTTCAGGAGTAACATAAGTTCTTGTTTCAATATTTCGTCCGATACATAAATTCTAAAACCGCGAATTATTGACCTATTGTGACTTCAATGGAGCCAACAACGGGGGCGTATACATAATATAATTTCCGAATTTCATTAAATATAACGCATACGCCCTGGCACACCGCAATGCATATAACCCGATTAAGCGAAATGTTTTTTCGACAAAAACAAAACTATTTCCTTTTCCACCAAAAATATATGTATATTTAATTAATTATATAAACAACACAATTTAATTTATATTATGGTCACATACATACCGTAAAGTCAACGGACCACAAATCTACATTTTATTTAATTAACAAAATAAATTTACTTCCTTCCTCGCCGATGAATTTACTTTTTTGTATTGCAACTTTATTCATTTGTAAAGGCAATAAATTCATTAATTAAACAAAGAATCAAATGTTTTCTTTTCAATTAGACCAGCTACACAAATGGTGACAAATGAAATGAAAACATGACTTTAATAGTGCAAGCTTCGACTGCTAAATGAATGGAATAGAATGGTATCGTAGTACCAACCAGTATCGACGTTGTTTCAGATTTTTCACCTAATCT